GCACTGGGCTCCTCCGCTCCCTTGTTTTTTTGCACGTTTGTGGCAGTGGGCTGCCGTGCTGATTTGCCCTGACTCCGTCTCCTGCAGCCGCTGCATTTGGAATCCCTGCCAAAGAGCCCCTGCGGGCCATTGCCCAGCCTTCGCCTTGCAGGTCTGGGACAGGGTGGAGGAAGGTCTCACTGGCAGTCTGGGGGAGGGGTGGAGGGATTTGGGCTGCTGTGTTTGGGCTCCCATCCCAAAAAAGAATTGGTCCCCTGGCAAGGCTAGCCATTGAGCAGGGTGATGGGCGGGCACGCGTGCAAGGGGGTCGAGTGCGGCCATGGTGGAGTCTCTCCTTATCCGTCTGTGGTGTTGAAGCCAATATGAGTTTTGTCTTTGGTGCCTCTTGGTGTGGAATTTGCCTGTGAAGGGGAGGGTGGGGCAGGCCGGAGGTGGGTCTGGAAAGTATACAGAGAATGCAGTTTGAAGTAGCGGCACCAGGCACTGGCCAGCACACACACGTTCCACTTCAATGTGATTGGGGGCAGAGAACGACTCCAGGGGAAACTCTGCAGAGACGGGTCTTCTGGCCACTGCCTCCCCCCCCCGCCCCGCAGGCGCTGCCCTCACTAAGGAGACGGACGTCCTGTGCAGGGAGCAGCAGACGCCAGAGAAGTGACTGGCAGGGACTCCCCCGTAGGCACTCGGGCCCAAAGGCAGACCTGGAGGCATCTGAATCCGTTTCCTGTCACTGATGTCAGGGAGACAGAGGGACTGGTTTCTTTTCCTCTGGGCCTGGGTGTGGGGGTGTGTGGAGTCACTGTGGCTGGGAGGGGCTCTCGTAGAAAGGGGATGTTGCTGAAGATGTGAACACCCCTCCCATCATTCTTTCTGGTCAGCAGATGTGCAGATTTTTTTATTTGTTCAGAGGTGGCAGCGGTGGACCATGTGTGCATGTGTCAGTGAGAGAGAGAGAGAGAGAGAGAGAGAGAGAGAGAGAGGCCTCTTTCAGCTCCCTAACTCCTGTCCCCAGGGTTCAATGTTGTATCTTTGAGCTTTCCCTCAGAGCCATCTAAAATGTCCCAAATTGTTTGGGCCCTGTGTGCATGCATCTGTGTTGAATTATAGTGCATACCCATCTCTTCAGTAACGTCCACATTTCTTTAGTGAAGTGAACTTTTAGATGAGTATTCTAAAGTGCAGAACCGTTGGAAAAAATACAAAAAATACCTTAGGTATGCCTCTGATTTCGTTTGCTTGCAAAATGTCTGTTCAAGTTCCTTAAGTTAAACCTACAAGCCACATGTCAAAACTCACAGAAGGACAAAGGTGCAGGAATCAGATAGCAGGGAGCTGAAAATTGCCGATGTGCTCGTAACCTGTTTGTACATACACCTTGTAGGTCGAAGTGGGTGAGACTGCTCCAGGTGAGAACTGGACGGGTGGGACAAACACCAGGCGAAATAATCTGTGTAGTGTTAGCCATGTGTAAAACCTCAATTTTTGTAAAAAAAAAAAAAAAGATGTTTTAACATGTGATTTGTAAGCATAAGCAGACCCTAATACAATTTAATATTTTTTGTAATATTTAGAATCATAGAGTTGGAAGGGGCCCTACAGGCCATCGAGTCCCGCCCCCCTGCCCAGTGCAGGATCAGCCTGGAGCATCCCTGACAAGGGTTTGTCCAGCTGCTGCTTAAAGACTGCCAGGGAGGGGGAGCTCACCCCCTCCCCAGGCAGTGGATTCCCCTGTCCCACAACTTGTGCCGTAAAAATGTTTTCCCTAATATCCAGCCCGCCCATAATTTAAACCCCTGATTGTGATTCCTCTCCTCTGCTGCCAACAGGAACAGCTCCTTGCCCTCCTCTAAGTGACAGAGCCCTTCAGATACTTGGAGAGAGCGATCACGTCCCCCCTCAAGCACCTCTTCTCCAGACTGAACATTCCCAAGAGGTCCCTCAGCCTCTCCTCCTAGGGCTTCTTGGTCTCCAGGCCCCCGATCATCCTCGTCTCTCTCCTCTGCACCCACTTTATTCTGTCCACGACCTTTTTGAAAGAGGCCTCCAGAACTGTGCACACAATTCTCCAGGTGCGGCCTGACCAATGCAGTGTACGGCGGGACTATAACATCCTGCGATCTGGATGTTGTGCCTCTGTTGATACACCTCAATATTGCATTAGCCTTTCTTTGTCCCTGCATCACACTGACTGCTCATATTTAACTTTCGGTCCACCCGTACTCCAAGATCTTGTTCACACACACTGCTACCCAGGAGTATCCCCCATCCAGTATGCGTGTTCCTCATTTTTGTTACCCAGATGTAGAACTTGGCACTTACCCTTGTTAAATTGCATCTTGTTCGCATCCGCCCACTTTTCCAGGGTGTTCAGATCTCGTTGAATTTTGTCAGAAACAAAAAGCAGGGGGTCGTGGGGTGGGGGAGGGAATTCTGCAGGCCCCCCCTTACATGGGGAGGGGGCGCTCCGAGAGAGTGTGGCTTGGTGAATTTGGGGGAAACCTGCGTTGGGGCTTCTGCTTCTCCTCTCCATGAGTTCTACACACCTTTCCCATGAAGAGAGCTGGAATTCCTCAGGCAGGTTCAGCAAAGTCCAAGGCAGTTGGTGGTGGTGTTGATTTAAGATTGGTGAACCAGTTAGAGCAAACAGGATACTTCTATAAGTATATATTTGTTCCTTTCCGTCGCAACGGAGAACTTTATGCGATCGTAACAGTTTAGCTGACCTGACAGGGTGCCCCAAGGACAGGGGCATCATTGGAATAACGATTGGGCCGAGATGTTGACCAGGGAGGGAGATCCTGAAGTTTGTCTTTGTTTGCTTTGGCCTCTGGTTTTTCTCTCCTCCTTCGATAAGACATGAAGACAGTGTTGAATCTCAGAAGCTGAGCAGGGTCAGCCCTGGTTAGTACTTGGATGAGAGACCATCAGAAGAGAGGCCGGCAGTGGCAGACCACCGCCGTATATGTCTTTTTGCCCCTGACATGGATGGCCCCGGCTACGCTGGTCTTGTGATATCTTGGAAGCTGAAGCAGGGTTGGCCCTGGCTAGGACTTGGGTGGGAGACCGCCAAGGGAGCCCAGGGTCGCTCTGCAGAGGAAGGCGAACCACCTCTATTCCTCTCTTGCTTTGAAAACCCCAGGAGGGGTTGCCATAAGTCGGTTGCACTTTGATGGCACTTTCCACCACTAGATAAACAGAGAGCAGCATCTTTGCTTCATCCTGTGGCAGTGAGCCATAATGTCACTGGTGTACTTATTGGGCAGGTGGGGGGGGGGGACATTGCATTATGTACACAAAACAGCTGCTCTTTACCATTACCTGGCCGATCTTCTGCTGGCACATCATCTAAGACCTGCGTGTTACAACTGGGGTGGGGCTGTGGCTGGACCATCCAACGTTGTTGTTTTTAAAAGATATTTTTTTAATTTCAGTGTTTTTAAAATAGGGTACAGGGGGGAAAAGGGTATGAGGGGAAGTTTTTTTAAAATATATTTTTATACCATCTAACTTTGTTGTTAAATATTCTCTGTTTTGGAGTGGGCCTGCAGTGGTGTGGATGTGGGTTTAACCCTCGGAGGCTCTGCACACTTTCTGCAATGAATTTTAGACACACCCTAAGCTGCTGTTCACCCTGGTATGAAAAAAGGAGCTTCATTCTCCCCCCCCCCCCCCCATGGCCGCTGCCGTGGGGGGGGGATAGGCTCTCTGGGACCTAATTTCCATCCTGGGAACACTGCGGGGGATTCCACAGCTGCTTTGTAATGCTAAATAAAGTCTTCTTTTTTTCCCCATCCCCCTGGGGGGAGGTTTTTATTGGTTGTTTTTTTCAGACTACAAAACTACAACAGAAAATATAGGAAAGGGAACTACATCTAGGGAATAAAGAAAAAAGACCCACAACTAACTAAAAACCCAAGAGTAGGAGATCATACATCATCTTAACACCATGCTATTTTCAAAAAACTACTAATAATACAATGAACTTAGTTGGTTATGCTAGATTAATTATCGTTTACCCATCCCTTTAACTGTTTAAAGAAATTCCCAGAGCATCCCCGAGTTGTTTCAACATTTTTTCAGGCACAAATCAGAGTCCTTCAGCCCTTATTTATTCTTATCTTTTCTAATTCTCAGTTTATAAGGGTTTTTGGGGGCAGCCACCCCCTTTTCAGAGGGGGAGTCCTCGTCTAAAGACTCCAAGCCCAACTCACCATCAGATTTGCTTTCTTTTTCCTTCTCTTTGCCCTCTTCTGGTTCCCCAGGCTGTGTCTGCAGAAATTCATGTGCTTTAAAAACAGAGTCAATCTTTTCTTTTTTATCGTTAATCTTGAAAATGATGCCTTCTGGGGTTAACCACCTGTAACTGATGCCATTTGTTTGTAAGAAAAGGATTAATTCTTTATAGTTTTTTCTCTTCTGTCGTATATCAAATGGAATATCTTTAAAATCCTGATATTATTGCCCCCAATTTTCAAGGGTTTTCCCGAATTTGCTTTCAAACAAACTCACAGTTCGTTGTTGGCCATTCGGCCTCACTCGTCATCATTTATTTCACCTGATCTCCAATGCTTGTCCTGGTCAGCAGCACTCATACCGTGCGGTCACTCAGTGGCAGGACCTTCAGGGCGGAGGGGCGCCTCAATTCTCTGGCTTTCAGCCATCGAAGAGGTCGCCCCTCAAAAGCCCCCTGGCTGGGAGCCTTTTACCAAGGCTCCGGGGGGTCTCGACCCGTCGGACCCCCTCCCACACGCTGGTGTGCAGTTTACATTCCCGGGGCGTCCGGGAGATGTGTCTGCCTGCGTGTCATCATAAACCGGAAGCCTTGCTAAATAAAGTCTTGTTAAATCTGTTTGTGGGCGTCCTCTGTTGCTTGACCCTCCTTGGGGGGTCCTTGGCTTCACACTTACTCAGAACAGCCCTCCTCTCTTGGCTGCTTGTGGTCATGGATTTTGTGTGGTGTTCTAGTGCAGTAACTGGAAGTCCTTCCTCTTCTGTTGCAGATCAGTGTGCGAGTTACCACCATGGATGCTGAGCTGGAGTTTGCCATTCAGCCCAATACAACAGGGAAGCAACTCTTTGACCAGGTAAGGATGGCCAGTGGTCCAGGACCCACATTGTGGGAACGGCTTGGGCAGGGACGGGGCTAACGGATGCCTCTGGCGGGCGCTTGGCTGTGGCTCATTCACACACATTGCTGCTGCCGTCTGCACGAGAGGAACATGAATGTGAGCGTTTATTTACTTCGTTTATAGTCTCAACTTTCTCACTGAGACTCAAGGGAGATGAAGCAGTTGTAAAGAACATTAACAAACAGAGAGTCCAGTGGCACCTTTAAGACCAACAAAGGTTTATTTTATTTTTATTTATTTATTAAATTGGATTTACTAGGCCGCCCTTCCCTACAAGTAGGGCTCAGGGCAGCTTACAGCAGAGTAATAGACAATCTCAGTATAAAACTAGTTTTAAACAGTCCAATAAATACCAATAAATAAAAACAGGGTATATTCAATATATAAGATGGCAGAGGAATACCAGCTCCCCAGCCTCCCTGGGGGCAGGGGTCATGAGGGATGGGAAATTATAGGAGAGTGCCAAAGGAAGCCCCGTCGCTGTCCTCAACCGAAGGCCTGGCGGAAAGGTCACAGCTCCCGCAGGTCACGGATGTCTCTTGGCAGAGCGTTCCACCAGGCAGGGGCCAGGGCCGAGGACAGCCGGACTTCTCTCGGGCCGGGGACCGCCAGGAAGTTCTTGCTTCCTGAGCATCAGGCTCTTCCAGGGGCATGCTGGGAGAGGCAGTCCCGAAGGTATGTAGGTCCCTGACCGCTAAGCGTCTTAAAGGACAGAACCAAAACCTTGAACCTGATCTGATGCTCCACTGGAAGTCAATGCAGCTCACGCAGCACTGGTTAAATATGTGCTGTCCAAGGGGTATGAGCTTTTGTGTGCATGCACACTTTTTCAAATACGATGGAATGATGTATTTAACAAACAGTGTGTTGCATATAACAAACAATGTAAAGAATTTGGATTGCAAGGTTAGAAAGCAAAAAGATGAGAAAACAATAGAATGAGACAATGTGAGGAAATGTTAACTACAACCCTTGTTTGCTGATGCCCTCCTGGACAATTCCATTTTGCACTTTCTGCAGAACAGTAAATCTCTGGGATCCTTCCTGACCTCCTCAGGCAGGTGGGGCCGATAACCAAAGGCTTAGGTGCGGGCAAAGCCCCCTCTTGCCCACTTGTTCAAGCAAACAACACTTCTTCAGGGAAGCGCATATCATATCACCTAAGCAGGACTTTGGCCATTGTAGGGCTTTCTAGGTAACACCGATACCTTGAATTGAACCCAGGAACTAATCTGTAGCCAGTGGAGCAACTGCAGAATATGTGGAGTATGCACAGTTTGTCTAACAGTAATCAAGTTGCGGTGTTCTGCACTCGCTGAATTTCCAAGGTGGTCTTCAAAAGCAGACGTGTGTAGAGTGCATTACCGTCGTGTAGCCTCGGGGTTACAGTGTCATGGACCCAGCACTGAGATCAGAATTGTCTAGACAATTTAGTTTGAAGCTGTACAGAACAGCCATTGTTGGGAACCTGGCGGGGAGGGCGTGATATAAATGATGATGATGATGATGATGATGATGATGATGATAATAATAATAATTGTGAGAAACTGGGTACCATTAAGTAACACAGTTGGAGGGTGTGTGATCCTGTTTTTATACTTTGAAGACTCTGAGGGAACAGATCGCGTTGCTTTTAATCATAATTTTGCAGGAAGGGAGTGTGGAATTTTGTATCTCGCTGAACTTCAGCTGGCAGGTTGGTACCAAATGCCGGGGGAGGAGGGGGAGAGATGGTGTCAGACTGGGCTGAAAGTGGATTTGGGCAGGTGCTGCATGAGAAATGGCACCTGCCAAGATTCCCTACTTCAGCACCTCTGTGACAGGTGGGGGGGGGGTTTCTGTCCCATATCTTCACCTGTCCTCTTAGAGGGAGGACAAAAAGGGGCCTGGTGGAATGGAAAGGTGGTTCTGCATCTGACCAAGCTGAAGTCAGCCGGTCTGTCTGAGCTGGTGCCTCTTCATTGTGGTTTTCAGAGGGGTGCTGCTGCTTGCACTGAAAAGCGGTCTGGCAGGCCTTTCCCACGTGAGGGCACACTCTCTTTAAAGCGGGTACCTGATCAGTAAGGTGTTGTGTTTTTTTAAAGTCTGTCAGTGGACCGATCAAAATGCTGTTCAGGTACTTTCTTGTAGCATTAGCGGTGAACAGAATTATGCAAATTACTCTGGAAGATGCAGCCCACCACAGTGGATCACCAGGAGAACCCATTTTATGGTACGAATGCAGTTCATTCCCCTGTTGTGTTCTTCCACTGATTTGCTTTGTGCCTGGTTCTCTTGAAACCTCTGTCCATGTTCCTTTGGGCCAGACCAGTATTTAAAGCAGACACCATGCCAGCCGGCTGAATTAAAAGGGCGGGCGGGCAGAAGCTCTCTGGAGGATGGTAGAGCTGGGGGGTGCCTTCTTCCAAAGATGGGTGCAGAGACCTGCACGGGGCACTCGCTCGTGCTGGGGCTGAGTAGCAGACCCCCGTGCTGAAGAGGGGCAAGTCAGCTTTGCACTCCCTTCACGGCAACTGGTGATGCAGTCTCATGTTGTGCCTTCCGTTCATTTGCTGGTCTCTAATAGGCCACTCTTCTCTTCAGCTTTAACTTCCCTAGGGTCGGCTTTGACTATGTATAGTGTTTGATCGTATAATTGGTGATCAGTTGGCCACGGACTCCTAATCTGACCTCTTCTAGTTCAGGAGTTTGGGTCTGCTCTCCCAAGAACATTTTCTGCCCCACAAGCCAGATTCAGGCATTGGTCTGAAGCAGCAGAACAAAGTTAGGGTCCCTGTGGCACCCGGACTCTACAGTGAAATGGACATTAATGGGGGGGGGACTGGGGGGAGGTATTTGTGAATTTCCTGCATTGTGCTGGGGGTTGGACTAGATGACCCTGGAGGTACCTTCCAACTGTAAGATTCTATGATTCTGTGAAATAAATATGTCAAAATTGGAGATTGATGTGTAAATGTATCCTTCCTAATTGTGGAGTGCTCCCTGAGTAATTTGCAGAGACCCTGCCATTATGCTCCATCTCCTCTCAGGCATGGAGGCGACCTTACAGCATCTTCTTCTTTGGAGCGGGGCAATTGGCTGTGTCCCCAGACCAGAGAAATACCTTCCAGTCTACCATTCCAGATTACATGACATTCTAGTGTTCATTACGTTACATTACAATCTACTATTCTGATCTGTTATTCCAAATAAGAAAATAAAATGAAGAGGTATTGGTGAGGTTAGTATATGTAGTGAGATAAGAAACCAGTATCCCTGTTAAGTCCTCCATTGTTCTGCGTGTTGTCATAACTTGCAACTCAGCCGTAAGCCCCGTAAACTGTTTGTGTGTGTATCCAGGATTAGGACATGAGTCCCGATCACCACTGGCAGCTGAACAGAAGGATGGAAACTGGGGCTGTTGAGCTGAGACAAGAGGGTTTATCAGCTGCAGCTGTTGAGAAAGCCTCTCCCCTTCGTAAGCCCTGTGGCCCTGCACCCAGGGTGCCATCCAGCTTCTGTTCAGCCATGGGGAAGTCATGCACCTGCCCTTTCTCACTCAGAGAACCCCTCTGCTCCCTTCCCTAAGTAGAGCCATGTTCCTCCTCAGCTCAGCAAGAGACCTTGCAGGGTGGCCGTTCCTTTCACCACAGGCTTGGGAGGGGAGAGGTCTGTTGTGGTGAACCTGCTGGTAAAGCTGACACTCTCCTTGGGAGCTCTTCCATGCTTGCAGGTTGCATGCCAGTCTCCTAATTCATTTTCTGATTCCATAGTCGTATCACACATTTTGAGTGAGTAAAACCTTGTCTGGGAAAAGCTGACTGTTTATTCCAAAAGATAATAGTTTATGGCAGTGTTTTAGTGCTGCCCCCTCACTTCCCATTTTTCGGCTGAAAATACTTGAGAGGGGCAGAAGGAGGACATGGATGTGTTTCCTTTCCCAGCTCCGGCATCTCTGGGTTTCCTGTGCAGAGGCTCTCAAGTGATGAGTGCACATGTTGCCTGTTGGCCCCGGTTTCCCATGTGGGCTCAGGGCTCAGCAGCACCGAGGGTTCTAGACTGTTGTGACCAAGAAGCGCTAACTGAAGGGGGCGATTATAGCGGAGGAGAGGCTCGTTCTGATGCTGGAGGCAGAACTGCTCCATGACATCCATCTGTCTGGTCTCTGAAATTGCCAGCTCTTCCTGAGCAAAACATTCACGCTGAGGTTTTTATTTTTCTATAATTTCATGTCCTCTTCCTCCTCAGCTGTAGCAACATTGCCCCTGCCCTGAGCTCCTCTTCCACCTGTCCAAACAGCCGTTGCCTTTTCAGGGGCTTTCTTGACCGACCGTCTTCGGTGGTTTGCTCGTGCAAGCAAGACGGGTGTGGACAGATCTTGGAGCCTCTCCTCCCTCACATGGTGGATAACAAATTGTGGTGGGCAGACCACGGTGAGAGAGAGAGAGAGAGAGAGAGAGAGAGAGAGCAGGGGCAGAGGCAGGGGCATGGGTCCCAGTCCCTGCCTGCTACAAAGGTTTGTTGCCACAAATGCTGCTCATTCTGCACTTCTCTCTCTCACCAGTCGGGAGTTTGCTCTCCAGGGCTATAGGACCAGGTGTCCCCAGCGTGGTGGTGCCTCTCCTGACGCCCCCCAAGTGTTTGTGGAGACTGGGCGGAGCCGGGGGGGGGGACTTGGCCAGCAGGGCTTCTGATGGGCCACGGAGATCCAATCGAGTCTGCGGATTCAAATAACATTTTGGCGGCGGCGGCAGCTGCCCCCTCAGTGTTGTTTGTATTCTCTCTCACGCCTCATTCCCAGGGTATTTTTAAAAAATCACTTTTCTTGTTCACGGCACTTAAGGCTCCTCGGGGGGGGGGGGCTTGGCTCCATGATGGCCATTTCGTGGTTGCCTCTGCCTCCCATGGCGGCCATTTTGTAGCGGAGCCCACCACCCTGCGTCAGATGTCCAAAGGTGCCTGCAGGCGCAGAAAGG